TATTAATTGTAGAACATTTTTGTTAATCACATCAATAAAATAAATTATCATCGTCAAAAATGATCCATCATTATTATCATGTTGAAAGAGGATAGCGAAATAATTTTGAATTGAAAATAATTTAATCGTAAAAGGCTATTATGCACGCCATTAAATAGCTAACATGCTGTGCTTAGGACAGACCTGTCACTGCATTACTTTCCATACTGCAGTTTAAAGTATACCGTGCGGTTTTGTAACAAACATACAAATAAACATTTATCATTTAAATTAATTTATTTTAAAGTTTTTAAATAATGCGCAAATTTTTTCATTCACAATAATTTTTAAATATAGCTGTTGACCGAATAATAAGTGATATAATTCAATGATAGCAATGATCTATAATATTGCGAAATAATGAAATCATTAACTTTCTTTTCTCCTTATTCTTTCTTTTCTTTTTTCCCTCTCCCATTCTTTTATTTTTTCTTTTTTTTTTGTTTAAACACTTAGTAATTATTTTAATTTTTGAAATTCAATTTTATAAAATTCCTTTTTCTATTTTACAATGAGTAATGCAGTTTGTCCAGTTACAGTTAGGTACAATTAATATCAATATTACTTCAATGTTTATTCATTTACGCATCAGATGCTCATTAGTTAAAAGAATTTAAAAAAGAAATGAAATAAAAAGGTACCAAAAGTAGTAGCATCAAAAATGGTAACTTATTTTTCTTTTACTTCTTTTTCACCATTATGTACAAACTTCAACATTTCAATGTTTTAAATTAAATTTTAAAAGTATGGAAGAACAGAAGACAAAATTATTTTTAATGATAGTATTATTAGAACGCAATTAATTACACCTAAAAAAGGAAAAAATGGAATGAAAGACAGAAAGAAGCCAGAAATAGAGGTGAAATTCAAAACAATGTAGAAAAAAGACAAAAGTATGAGACATCTTATTTAAAAGAAAAAAATTGAATAAAAAAAGAGAAAAAATTGTGTACATTAATAAATTCTTCACATGAAAATTTGATCATTTTAGTGAATCCGTGTTGAACATTGCGCAATTTTTTTTTAAATCGAATTTTTTGTTAAAAATTGTTCTGTTTTAAAATGAACTTTTCTTGTTTAAAAGAAAGAAAAAAAGTGAAAAATATTCATTTGAATGAAGTATTTCGTTTAAAAATATTTTGTTTCTTTTCAACCAAAAAGGTAGTTTTTCATTTTTAAAAAA